CTCAAAGTACATTATCAAAACATAAACATAAACAAACCAATACCACACCCCAACCACACATTTTATATATTTTTGTTTCAATTAAGTAAGCAGTTTCTGTAAGAGCAGTTCGGGGCAGAAGAGGTTTTTTAAAAAAGAGAAGCAAGCAATTTCAAGTCCACTTTAAAAGTGTGGCTGAGGCCTTATGCAGATAGGCTAATAATGATAATAGTACTGGTAATACTACTAACAATATGAATATCCCTGAGCATCCTCTCCCACTTTGTGGAGCCCGATTGGCCCCCTAGTACACTCCAAGCTGGGAGACTGAGCGCAAGTGGATGAAAGATCCGAATGAATGCAACCAAACACTGGTAAGGGCTCATTATCAAGCCTAGCTAGTGGCAGTGAAGGCAGCAAAGAAAGCATAGTTTTTTGCCTCCATTGCCTCCTCATTATGTCGTCTGGCAGAACTTTTCCGGGTTGTACGGGGCCTTTTACAGGCTGAGCCAAAGGAGGTGGTAGAACCAAAGGTAGCTCGCTTTGACTGCTTTGCAAAGCATGTTGTTGTTAAAATTGCTTGCCACAATGCTTTGTCGATTGCAGGAGAGATCTGACCAGGTTCATATGGCAGGGTAAGAAACCCCACATAAAATACAAATTACTGACTGACAAAAAAAGAAAGGGGCGGGTTTCACACTCCCCGATTTAAGAACATATTTCAAAGCCTCGTGCCTATGTTGGATAAAGGATTGGAATCTTATTAGAGAAAACATATACTTGATTTGGAGAGTTGCAACAACAGGTACGGATGGCATAAAGTCAAAGTCCACACAGGGTTCACTAATCATATAGTCAGAAATGCTCTTTATAAAGTGGACAAAATACCAACCATTATTAGAAACCCAAACGCCATGGTGGCTGTCCCAGTAGAGACTTTTGCAGTCAAAAAAATAAATATGGAGGGAAATTGGACAACCTATAGTCAACTATTAAAAGAAGACAAGGACATCTGAGATTCAAAACATTCAGAGAGATAAGGCACTACCTCACCGATTGGCTTTCATATCACCAATGGAACAACGTTTTTAATTCAGATAAACAAAATTGGCTTTGGGAAAGATGAATCCAAACTACAAAAAGCATTATTACGAAATGACAAAAAATTATTATCTAAAACTGTTATTGGAATGGGATCTGAAAGATGAGGAAGTAAAGGATATAATGGTTAAAGTATGTAAACTTGAATCAGATTATGACAAATTAATAATAGGTGAATGTTGAATACTATCAAAAACACAATGTAAATAAGAGTATAGAATATTGAAAGATGTTGAGTTGAGGCAGAGGGAAGTCACGGTGTTGGAATTTTTATTTTATATATCTTTATTTTATGTTGGAATCTTCTATTTTATGAATGGTATATTGATTGTATATATACTTTCTATAATAAACTTTATCGAGGAAAAAGAAGAAGATAAAATTGCTTGCATCCACCAAGATCTTGACTCTGCTGTTACAGCAGATGAGTCTCATGGGGCGTCCAGAGCACAGTCTAGTCCTGTTGTGTTGGATGAGTTTTTTCAGTTGGCAAGACTCGAGGATATGGACATGGTGTTTTGATCAGTCAGGGTGACCGTTTGCATTCTAGACCCTTTCCCCTCTTGGCTGATAAAATCCAGCAGGGAGGGAACAGCAGGCTGGGCCAGGGAGATGATCAGTGCCTCTTTACAAGAGGGGGTGGTCCCTGCATGTTTGAAGGAGGCAGAGGTAAAACCACTCCTTAAGAAACCTTCTCTGAATTCAGAAAGCCTAACTACCGGCCAGTTGTTGATCTCCCTTTCCTGGTCAAGGTTCTGGAGCGAGTGGTCGCAGACCAGATCCAGGTGCTTTTGGAAGAAACTGATTTTCTGGATCCATTTCAATCAGGGTTTAGGCCTGGTTTTGGCACGGAAACTGCTTTGGTGGCCCTCTATGATGACCTCTGTCGAGAGAGAGACAAGGGAAATGTGTCCCTGTTCATTGTTCTCCACCTCTCAGCGGCTTTCAATACCACTGACCATGGTATCCTTCTGGAGCGACTCTCTGAACTGGGGGTGGGTGGCACTGCTTTGCGATGGTTCCAATCCTACTAGGATGGTCATTTCCAAAGGGTGTTACTTGGGCAATGCGTTTCAGCCCCATGGAAGCTTCAGTGTGGGGTTCCGCAAGGCCCAATCCAATCCCCTATGTTGTTTAATATCTATATGAAATCGCTGGGAAGGGTTATCCAGAGGTTTGGAGTACGTTGCCAGCAGTATGCTGATGACACTCAGCTCTATTTCTCCTTTCTATCTGAAGATAAGGCAGTGGAAGTGCTGGACCAGTGTCTTGCCTTTGTAATGGACTGGATGAGAGCCAACAAATTGAAGCTCGATCCAGATAAGAGTGAGGCTCTGTTAGTGGGTGGTTCCCTAGAGCAGATGGCTGGGAGGTCGCCTGCTCTTGATGGGGTTACACTTCCTCTGGAGGAGCAGGTTCGTTGCTTGGGGGTTCTCCTGGATCCTTTGCTGTTGCTCGAGGCTCAGATGGCTGTAGTGCCTTCCATCATCTTTGGCTGGTAGCCCAGCTACACCCCTATCTGGACAGGAATAGCCTATCTACCGTTGTCTATACTCTGGGAAATTCAAGGTTAGATATAGATATGCGTTATACGTAGGGCTGGCTCTGAAGACAGTCTGGAAACTTCAGCTAGTGCAGAATTTACTGGCCAGGTTGCTCACTGGAGCAAGGTGGTTTGAGCATATTACCCCCATCCTGGTCTGACTGCACTCGCTACCAAATAGTTTCCAGGCCCAATTCAAAGTGCTGGTTTTGACCTATAAAGCCTTAAATGGCTCAGGACCACAATACTTCAAGGGCCACCTCTTTGCATATGAACCTACTCGGACCCTGAGATCCCCTTCTGATCTCAAGTGGTCTAGAGGGTGGCAACACGAGAACAGGGCCTTCTCTGCAGTGGCTCCCCGTCTGTGGAATGCTCTCCCCAGGGAAGTTCACCTGACGCCTTCCTTGTACACCTTTGTTGTTGTTTAGCCGTCTTAGTCGTGTCCGACTCTCCGTGACCCCATGAATCAGAGCACGCCTTGGAAACTCACTTTCCTCTCAAAGCTTCTCCTTTTTCATGTCCATGGAGCTTTCATGGCATAATACTGGAGTGGGTTGCCAGTTTCTTCTCCAGGTGGATCACATTTAGTCTAAACTCTCAGATGACCTGTCCATCTTCCTTCCTCAGGACCTGTAAGACAGAACTATTCCGCCTGGCTTTCAATTTGAACCTGGCCTGATCTTTTGTTCCCCTTCCTTCCTTCCTCCCCTCCCTTTTTTGTGAAGATTACCCACTCTGGGATCCCACAGCTAGTTCTCCCCTGGTCTCCTCGCTGGCCCAGGTGGGACTAATTTGGCCAGCTAGCTCGGGTGATCATCTAATGTTTATTAGATGGATTTCCCCCTAAATTGATTTTTGATTTTATTGTTATTTAAGCTTTATACCTATTTTATGCATTTTTTGTAAAATCAATTAAGTGTTTTGTAGTATCAATAATTTTTCATTATTATTATTATTATTATTATATTTTTATTAGGTCATAGCTTCTCTGAGTTATTCAAGCCCCTTCACCACGACAAGGCAGTGATCCATGAAGGGGTTACACCTTTAGGTGCCATGCAAACATGTTCCTTTTAAACCAGGTTTTTGCTAGATATCTTTGACATCCTATGGTCTTTTCAAAGGTTGCTCTTTTTGGGGGTGGGTGTTATTGGGCTTTTGTTTTATTCTGATTATATACGATGTGATCTTTTCTGTGAACCATGCCGAGTCCTCCGGGTATAGGCAGTATATAAACTCAATAAATAATAATACCATATCAATAAATAATAATCCTATTAATGCTTTCATTATTTGTACCCCACGATCTGACTGGGTTGCCCCAGCCACTCTAGCTGGCTTCTAACAAATATAACAA